TTTTAGTTTTTTAACTATATTTATTTTTTACTTTTTAGTTTCATGTTATGATAGTAGTTACTATCAATATCATGGTTGTAACGGGTAACGGGAAATCAGGGTTCGATTCCGGGAAGGGAGTCTGAAAAACGGCTCCCACATCCAAGGAAAGCAGCAGATGCGTAAATTACCCACTCCCGGAACATGGAGGTAGTGACGAAAAATGACGATACTGGATACATCCTTTGTAATCGGAATGAATGAGTTCTATATCTCTAAATAAGAATAAAGTGTGTTAATATATATTTTTAATAGTAATTAGAATATATATATATATACATGTAAAGCAACTTAAGTACGTAAACGTATCATGCATTAGGTATAGCCGTGTTTTGTGGGTGGGCGGGTCGGACTAACGTTAAACCTGAGGTATAAACGGCGGTAGGAACATATACGTAAGCCGTATGGTACGCGGATGGTATTGGTCAGTCAAAATAAAAAATTTGTTTATATATAGATACTATTGATGACAAGCACTCATGTACGTGTACGATAACTAAAAATAAATTTATACTTGAATAGTGTAGTCGTCCTTTGGAGAGCGAGGCGTGGGGTGGGGTGAATGCGTTATGACAGTCTAGTCTAGACGACGGAATATGCGATAACGCGTGGCGTTTTGAGAGTTACATACATACATACAGGTGAAACTAATATAAAAGAATATTGTTTTATATTTATAAGTGGGGAAGTCGTTCGCTGACCAGTGATAGTCGTTGTCTGATCTACCAGTTATAACCGGTGTATGATCTAGTTGATTAGACACATCGGCGCCGCCACTAGTTGTCCCGCGACTTTTGCGGTATCGTGACGCATATGTGAGTACAGTGGATTTGCCGTGCGTGTGATCAATTATATAATTAAGTCCATGTTGTTTCCGTCAAACGGTTGAAGGTGGTTGTATAAACCAGTTCTCGTCCGATCACTGAAGTCAAATTATCAAGCTCAACGATACTTATAAATCTTAAACTTGTATTCATTTTATTTCATTATAATATTTAGTTGTTTATTAGTAATGTAAGTGGGGATGCCCAAACATGACTGGATTATTAATTATATATTAATATTTTTTTTATAGACAAATCCTCTTTATTTTTAGTTTTTATAAATAATAATGTTATGTTAACTAATGTAATAAACAAAAAATAGTGAAATAAGGAAAGGGAAAGAACGAAAGAATAGAGTCGTATCTCGGGGTCGAACTTTATTTATTTATTAAATAATAAAATATCCCTACCTCATTTATTCATATTTTTGTTTATTACGTGATTTTTTTTAGAAGTAAGACATGCAAATAAATATTCGCACTTACCTTTATTTCCTTTAGTAATTGATTGAGTTGATTTTATGGTGATTTCTTCTTTCAGTGTTAACTGTCGTTTATACTGTCTTGCGTTTATTTCGATAAATTAGTATCTCTGTGTATATAAGACTCAAAAAAAAAAAGGATTCTCTACAATGGGACCTGCGTCTATTATAATTTTGTCACTTTCTTTTATTTTAAATTCCTTTTATATTATACTATGTTTTTACTAATAATATTTTCGATGAATTCCCTACAGTCGATATCGATATTCTTAAAATTTACTCTGAACTAGTCAAAATATAATTATAAGAATATGTCTATCTATATTCAAAATATAATTAACAAGACTGTGGTGGCCCAGCATTTCTCAGCGTAAAGCCTTGGTTGGCGCGGATACAGTTACCTCGTTAATATATTTAAAATATTATTTCAATACACCTTTTATTATCCTTTACGCCAACTGCCTACACGTTACCGAAAGGTAATTGGCATAATCCTTTATGGCTGGCGGGTACACACGCAGAGAATATTTCCAAGGTGTAGTTTCCTATCTTACGGACTATATATTTTATGATGAACTTTACCCGGACTACTAGCTCTAGNATGAGAACATTAGGTGATCATAAAATAAATAAAAACTTGTTCCTGTGTAAAATATTAATAAATCATCTAAGACAATGTTCACCACTTAGGATAATACATATAAAAAAACTAAGTCATAGGGACAAAATATTTACTTATACTGACGCAGATTCCATGTAAGAGAATATCTAGAGGGTAGTCGTTGCAGTCGCTGCCGCAGAAAATCGTCAAAAGAAATCCAGAGAAATCCAAAAGAAGAGAGAGAGAGTGACCTTTTTACGAGAAAAAATGGCTTTTTATACACCGGATGAAGTAAGCCAGCGATCTCTATTGAAATTCCTAAGATGTTGGATAATTATTTGTGATTGGTTAATTGTGATAGATACCCTGCCGTGGGCGTAGTTAATGAATTGTAGGGGACTGGTTTGAAACATGTGTTGATAAATAGTTATTTTTATTACCCTAAAAGGGAAACATTCCTTAGATGATTTTTGGCTTTATTCATATATATGTGATATTTAGTACATGTGTTAATAATTATACTACACTAATATTATAACTAATATGTTAATGAAGGCGCGTGAGCCTCAAGGTTCCTAGGTATGGTTGGAGTCCTAGCTAAGCAAAGCCTAGTAGTTTCTTAATCAATTACGACATAAAAAAAGCATAAAATTTGTATTAAATCATTAAAGTAAAACATTAAGTGAGAAAATGGGTTCATTAGTGTTATTAATTAACTACATTTATTAGTAGATGAGGCTCAACGCTATTTTGAATTTTATGTTATACTCCATAAGCAATCTCATTGGAAGAACAACGATCTCGTTCAAATAGTTCTTGTAAAACCTGGTTAGTAATTCTGGATGGGTTAATAGACGAGATGTTCTCTTCATGACTACTAATTTTTGCCTTAAGTGAACCAATATCTTTTTTGAGTATTATATTCTCTGCTTTGAGTTCACTCACTTGTTCAGAAAATATTAATATTTCTGTTTTAAGTGTATTGAACTGCAAGATTACGAGTCACATTATAATGTGACTGTTATAAAAAAATATTTGAAAAAAATGACAAATTTTCAACATGGTTTAAAATTTAAGTAAAAGGTGGTGTGGTGATGTTGATAAAAAGGCTGTGGAGTTTATTACACCTGTTAAGCTTCTTAAAACTAAAGAAATAATGTCTATCTAACTTCACCTAAAGATTCTCTTTGTTATATCAAGTATACTTGGTATTAGTATTTTATGTTCTAAAAATTCAGAATTATTTTCAAAATTTAATATTAGTTTTTTATATTGAAATGATATTTAGATAGAAAAATATACATGATTAAATATCTTTAAAATAAATTATTTGCAGTACCTAAATAATTTTATATACAATAGATATTCCCTATAGAAGATATTTATTGAAACTTTTTTGATTATCTAAGACTTTTTTTACCCAATTTATTATTTTAATTTAACTGCTACTTTAGTCTTAACAGCTAACCTTATGTTCAAATATTTTAGCATAGCAGGTAAACATATTTGACTGAAGTTACAAGTAAAAAAATATTGCAGCACACCTGTAAAATATATTTTGGTTTTTCAAAACAAATGTTTGACGATCATTCCTTATTAATTACATAAAAGTATAGAATATTAAAATAAAAAATATAAACAGTCAATTTGTTTAACAAATTACTGACTGTTATTATATTCAGTTCATTGTTCGAATTTTTTTTCATTAAAAATTTAAAAAACTACTCTTTTTGGAAAAAAATTAATAAGTACTTAACATGGTATGTACAATAAGTTAAAAATAGAATAATATGAATTTTAAATTACTAATGAAAAGTTATTTTGTAAAAATGTTTTATTTAATTTTTTTTATGTGTAATTACAATAATATTTATCTTAACATAACATTTTTATAACTATATGCTAATTTTTAACTATTACAGAATATGTATATGATCATATCAATGATTTTAGCAGTTTTTTTTGTTACTGGTAACTTTATTTTGTTTTTATGCTAAAATCAATGTAACAGCACAGATAAGATAAACCTTGTCTGTGGTAATAGTATAGTAGCTACGACGTTATGAGATGATAGGCCACTATAATATATTAGTAAAATAAAGAAAACAAGTTCACAATATTGGACAGTAGAAGAATTTTTCAAGCATTTTTAAGTTCACCCAAAAAATATTTTTGTATACATAAATATTTTTATTAGATATTTTAAATATTAATAATTGTAATATTTATACTTTATTTTATTTTTATGAATAAATATTTTGCATACTATCTTAGTTTATAATTATACGAAATATATCGTTTTGTTTTGTTATTAATTACACTAAAAAAATAAAATTATTGTATAGTAAAAATATTTGTAACCACGGTCATTTATTAAAATTAAAACGTTAAATCACACGAGTAAAAATTGTCTATATACAATATACATTATAAAAGCGATGTCAATTTTAAACACATTCTATAAATTTAAAAAAAAAAATATTTTTATTTCCTTCTTTTTTCTTTAAAATATATCAAAAAACTCTTTCAAGTGGAATCATATATGTTTAACCAGATTAAAAATAAGAAAATGATCAACTTTTAAACAAGTATTTTGAAAATACCAACATTTTAATACAACGACTAGAGATAAAGCGCAAGCTTATTTATTTTTATCTCTTGGTATTTTTGAACCGAATACAACTCCCGTCTTAGTATGAAAATGCCAATAATTCCCAAAATACTGGTTCAAATGTTATCGACCTGTTATATTCTTAGCTAGATTATTTTATTGTTTATAAGTAAGCAATAGAAGCATGTTATATTTTAAAAAATAACTTTATATGATACAACTTAAAGGGAATAGAGGGATAACAATATTTTTTTTTTTTTTTAGTTAATTTAGGAGTGTAAAATACTAATATTTTCTGAAGAAAAAAAATTACGTTTTATCTTTACTTTGAAGATATTGTGTGAAACATAGTTAGCTGATTACCCTGTATATATATATTTAAGAAATCTTTGATTTACATTTTCTAATCCATTTAGTTTTAACGTGTGTTTTAATTATTTACAGAAACCATAACTAATGCAAATCGTAAGTTATAATTTTTACAATGCTTTTTCTGTAGAAAATTTTTCATTATTATCTTTAATGTCCAACTAATTTTAAAAGTCCAATAATAAAAAGATCCTACTAATTTTTTTGTACTAATGAAAGAATATAGAAATATTTTATTTAAAACATTTCTTTTAAAAAAAGCGATTAAATTATTAATAAATTAAAATTTGTGAAAAAATTTAGTCATAGAAGTTTTATAAGGTAGATTTCTATTAAACATTATCTTTTGCATTCATTTTACGTTATGACCGAGGGGGGCTCTTTTTTAAATATATTTTCGCCATAACACTACTAATTCTCGTAAAAAAAAAAAAAAACAAGTATTTAAAAATATTTTTCAAGCAAATCTATGTTTATTAATAAATCATAAAATAAATTGCTTGTAGCTATTAATATACATATCATAAATACATAATAAATGAATACAATTGTGATAATTATTAGGAAGTCAATATATCTTAACAACATAAAAAAAAAATAACTCGCTTGTTTATAATTTCTTTGCCGCTGTAGACAGTTACCTATATTGCCTGTACATAAATACGCCGCTGAGTAGGAGTGTTCATCGATTATTAGCTGAATAGCTATTGCTTTTGCCGTTTACATTGAGCATTTGTTTGACAATTTGATTTGTTTTTGTTATAAGGGGAATGACCACTCCTGTTTCCATTTTTGATGCGTCATTACCTTGAATATACCTTTTGATAATTTTTATATTCTTCAAGGAAATAACTTTTTATATCATTAAGAATTATTCTTAACGATTAATATATCACAAAACATATGTAACGAAATGTACCGAAAAAAAGCTATCATAGTGTGGCGGTCGAATATTCTAGAATGTCCGGCCGCTGCCGCCTCTAGAAGATTCGTCGCTCTACATAAGCGTGTGGCGGTCGAATGTCTAGAGAGTTCCTCCGCCGCCTCTAGAAGATTCCTCTGACTATTTAAGGGCAAGATCGTCGCTCCAGTCAGTCAGTCGATCAGTCAATCACTTTCGCATTCTGTCTTACACGCGCTTCGTTTCTCGCTGTTATTTATTAGTTCGTTGTAATACAGTTCGTCTCTCGCTGTTATTTGTTATTTCGTAGTTCGTTGTAATATAGTATAGTTGTTATTAAATCGTAAAAGTGTTTATTACTTCTATACATTACACCTCGCTACATTGGTGACCTCGACGATAACAAGTATGAACGCCGAAGAACTACGCAATCAATTGGAGGAGTTACGCCAAGAAAACGCTCGCCTTGCAGCACTACAGGCACAGCAATATCCAACAGCTTCAGTGAATCGCGTTGCCGTCAAGTTGCCACCTTTCTGGTCCGAAAGACCGAGCTTATGGTTCTCACAGGTTGACTCGCAGTTTGCAATCTCGGGAATAACAAGTGAGGAAACAAAATTTAATTATGTTGTGGCTCAGCTTGATACGCGTTACGCCGCCGAAGTAGAGGATATTATTACTAACCCACCGCCTACTGAACGCTA